GGGGGAGTGGAGCTAAAATGTCTTGTTTTAGACAGTGTGTACACTTTGGAGCTGCACTGAGGCCCAGTAAATCATGCAAAACTACTCTAGAAGAGTCCAAGAATATGAATATGGTGCTGAAGCATAGTAGGTCCCCTTTAAAGACCTGAAACAACTTGTCCGAAAGTAACATATTCTTGGCTGTGGTGCAGTTAAATTTCACCAGTTTCCCTGAAACCTCACTGTGAAAACGAGACTAGATCTAAGTGCTCATCATCTCATGGTTGAAGCTTCTTATTGGGTTTAAAGACGTCAGTAGCATCAAAGCTACCGTTTGTTCCATGGCAGTAAAGCAAATTGGCATATCTCCCCAAGTTTTTCCTTAAACAGAGCAGCAGTTGTTCACAATGTTTTTTTGTTTTTGCATTGAGTTCTTTACACACACCCCAACCTCCCGGACTCTTTCTTCATTTAACATTTGAATCCTTAGTTGTCTGTCTTTGTGCCTTTGCTCAGGTATGTGTCTCTTCCGTCCATTCCCCTTTTCCACCGTTTTCTCCAGTGTTTGTTCCTTCAGTCTCTAGAATAAGCTTTTTAAAATTCCCCGTGCTCCTCAATGGCCTCCAATACCGTTTAAATGTGTTTTGCGTGTTTTCTCTCCTCATGCACGGCTTCCCATTTTCATTCAGCTGCAAATTGGTCTGTGCAGGGCTTTAGTCGCCTGCTGGATACAAGGAACATTTCTCGCTCTTTTCCCCTCTATCACACATCCACACAACACCTCACTCCAGGCTGTGTTTTTAGTGCCACGATAGGTGTGCATGCTTTGTCTGGAATTGAGACTTCCGGATGTTTCTAACAGGTGGCCTTCGACACTTTGTATCAGAGTCTGGTGAGATGCGAGGCTGGGATGATGTGTGCGTATATGTATGTGTGCTGGAACTGAGCCCTGTATCCTCTGGGGGGGTCATCAGGGTCACTTACTGTAAACAGATCTTCGTGGGCATCAGCAAATCCCCTGGCTGGAGTGTGTGCTCTTTACCATTCTGTAATTTTCTATTTCACATACACACAAACACATACAAGGCAGGCAGGCAAATAAACACGCCCACTCATGCATTCACACATATTTCTTATCTGCTGGACAGAGGCTTTAGTCGCTCTCTCTGTGCACACTGTCACAGAGTTTCTCTCTCCCTCTCTTTCGCTACCCCTTTCCCTGACAGCGGGGCCTCCCGCTTGCTTTACCGTTTCCAGGAAGCGGGTAAAACCAGTCTTGAGTTTCCCTCCCCACCGTTCCAAGCTTCCAGGTGGAGAAAATAGACTCTGCAGTCGCCCTTGTCCAAATCTGTCCCCACGTTGGAGTGGAAAACAAACAGTAGAGCTGCCTGAAAGGTCCAAGGGGACATGCGAACCTGCCGGTTATTTTAACAGAGCCCAAGACGAGAAATAAAGGGTTAAACTTTTGAAGCGCCGCTGCATTTCTCGCAGTTGACCTTCTCTCGCTGTTTTCATTCATTTATCATTTCTTCAACTTATTGCTTGTCGCCAGAAAAATAACAATAAGCTTGCCACTCTGACAAGCTTCCACTTGCAGCTGGTCTGGAGATGCAAAACTCTCTGATGGTTTAGTTATTTTTCAACATTTCCATTTGCTCCTCATGTTGTAAACAGTTTCTTTTTTTCTTTTTCTTTTTTTTTTTAAATGAAGCTTGTAAGGATTCCTAGAAGGAGAGGCGTGGCTATTTGCTTCATAGAAACCATCAATCATGTGGCAGTTCTGTCGATTTCCTCTTCCTTTCTTACAAATAGCTGCACTCCTGACCCACAATAGCTGTAAGTAGCACGCAGTAGACACATTTACAGCACTTAAATGACATACTTTACCAACATTGTCCAGCATTTTAAAAAGACAACTGTCATAACCGCAACACAAAACTATATATTTTAGGGATTGGGTGTGTGACAACCATTAATTATCAATCACCTCTCCTCTCACTGCAAGACTGAAGCAACTTGATTATAACCTCTCTTTTTTTCCCCAAGGATGAAGGTTTTATTCAACGTTTTCTCATCGCTTTTAAGGTTACATTGAAAGTATTTTTGTCTTACTGCCAGGCAAAGAAAACAACAATTTCTACAAAAGTCCTTCTAAACTTCCCACACAACAGCTTTCTACCACTTTGGCAGGTCTTTCAGTGAGCAGAGTTTTGGCTCGTCTCCCATTTGTGTGATAGTTGTTTGCTGAGTTTCAGGAAGGCTCACTTTGCCAGCAGGCCTGAAACAATAGAGCACGGTTTTCTCAGCTTGTTGCTGCTCGGTGTAGGCCTTCGACTGCAAGAGCAAGAGGGAAACTCCAGACTTGCCACCTCCTGCTTCTCCTCCTCCCCCTTCTTCTTCTTCGTCTCCTTCTTCTTCTTCTCCTCCTCCTGTTTCCCCTCCCTCTCTCCCCTCTGTGATGACTCAGAGAAATGTGCTTGGCTTTGCTCCCGTTGCCAGAGTGCAAACCAAGGTTCGATGAAAACGGAGTGAAATCGACAGAGGATTCCTTTACAAGAATTTGGCTGCATTGCGGCCTTAAGCTTTGTCAGATGTATCTAGTTCGATAAGTGCAATAAAAGGAGAAAGAACGCAGACCAAATGGATTCATGTTTCATAACTTATTCATACATGTTTGTGTGCTGTGCTGTTGTGCTGGAAGCGGCTGCAGGCATCCAGTTGCTGCCAAGCACAGTTAGAAAAATCATAGCATTTTTAATCCTGTGAGTTCTCAAGGAGACAAAAAAATACTGATATAATTTAAGTCAGGCTAATGTATTCTGTCAGTTTTTACTGTAACAGACCGAAACTGAAATCCTTTCTGACACTGATGTTTTTAAAATATCTGTTTTCTTTTCCTTTTGTAAAAGGACCTTTGGCTTGAAAAAACACACTGAGGAGAGTGATTTCAGATCAATTATGATTGACTATAGGATAGTAAGTGTTACCAAATAGGTGGTATTTTTAAAAAGAGCTGTTACCTTATTTTTCTGTACGCTTTCTTGACTTTATCCTTATTTTAAATCATTTTGATTTCCAGTTTTATCATTTGAGTGGTTTGCAGGACACGTGGAAGAAGGCTGTTTCAAACAGTCACCCTCATATGACGTGTGTGTGTGTGTGTGTGTGTGTGTGTGTGTGTGTGTGTGTGTGTGTGTGTGTGTGTGTGTGTGTGTGTGTGTTTAAAAGCCAGGATTCTTTTGAAGCTATTAAAATGTTGCAGAAACCAAATAACAGAGTGCAGAATTTCCCTCACACATTTTATTCTCTTAAAGAAAATTCATTGCTGACTAAAAAATTGTGAGCAGGATTATTTAGACTGGTTAAATTAACGGTCTGGTATTCGGGGAATGATTTTGAAATAGAAATAGAAATTTGTGTTCATTTTGTAATATATTAAGGTCTACTGTAAAATTACATTTTAAAATTACAGCAAAATAACATTTAAATCATTACAGGGAGGTTTTTATGGGTCTTCTTTTCTCCTGGATAATACATTTATATATTATTAAAGTGTTTTTTATAAACCTGATCTGACACGATGTTCACATCACAGGTTCATAACTAACAACATCAAATTCTCACATTAGCAATATAACTTATTTATTATTATTCCTTTTTGTCTGTTTGTACAAAATTATTATATTATTTATAGTACAAATAAAATGCATAGTAACAGCTAGAATGCTGATTATCAGTCTCAACTTTTTAATATATTTAAAAAATTGTATTTATACATATGTAAAGCAGACCCTTTCTCATCAGTTCTCATCAATGTGAAATCTTAGCTTATCTCAGCTGCCTATTTTACAACAAATAATGTGTTTGTTTTAAATATATTACATATATTATATTGTAATATTTTTACAAACAACTACAGATAATAAATGTATGTTCTTAGACTATTATGAAGGAAGAATATTCATATTTAAAATCATAATAGTTAAAGAAAAAAAGTGTCTGTCAGGCTGGTAAGTATTTAACCTCCTAGGACCCGGCGTCCACATATGTGGACATCACATTTTGGGTTATTTAGACCAAAATACTCAATTTTGTTCTACAAGGGCCTGATATCCACTTACGAGGACATTATACTGCTACTGTTCTATCAAAATTTTAAACGAATATCCTCATATGTGGCTCTGATTTTTCATAAAAACAAAAATAAGGTAAAAAAAAAAAAATCTGGTAATTCTTTGGGGCCTAATGAATGTAAAAACAATCAGCCCAGATATCAAATAGAAATTAAAAATGCATGCCGTGGAAGAGTTCGGGTCTTAGGAGGTTAAACAAATAATTTGAAGACTTTTTTTTTTCCAGCGAATGACTCACAAATAGTTTTCTGGATGACTTTTTATTCTTGTTGTTTCTTGTCCGACCACTTTGCTTCTTCACTGAAGTTTTACATGCCATGGCTAATCTGCAGTTCTGCATCCTTAAAATGGCAGCTTTGGGATTTCTGTCCAGTCGGCCTTCCAGATTTATCTTTCCGTGCCAATGGAGCTCAACAACAGTGTGCTGAAACTAGTGTGAAGGTATATATCTTGAACACTTGGCTGTGTGTGATTTGTTTAATTTTTATTTACTTTTTGCAGAAGTATTTGTCACTGACCTCTATTATTTTCCTCCTTCCTTCTTAAATTTCTCCACTGTTATTCTCCATTTGAAAATTCAGCACACATTTTCCTTTCACGAAAGTAATTTGTAGATTATTTCTGTTTTGGCTGTCTTTGTCCTTCTTTATCTTTAAATCTGTTTTTCTTTATAGTTAATATTTCTTTCTTTATTTGTCACTCACCTCTGTGAGGAAGAGATCTCACACAACACATCCAAAGACCCCCGACAGTTCCTGTCAGGAATATCAATGCGTTGTCACAAACGTCCCTGTTGGGAGGGCCTGATATTATTCAACTTTGTGAATAAGAAATTTGGACCAAAACCCCAAGACAGATGGTTAAACGTGACAATAATAACACATCAGATTTTCTTGGCAGTCCTTTATACTGTGTTAGATTAAACTGTTGGCGTTCATACATTCAGCCAAATACAATAGTTGCTCCAAAGCACTGTAGAGGGGTCCCCCAGGGTTTGTATGTTGGCCTTGTGCAGTTTCTTCTCTGGAACAGCATCTGCTTTGTTCACTTCTCTGAAGTAGCATCCCTCAGATCACATATCTCACCACTATACTGATCTTAATAGCTTGAGCCTACGGCCCTCTGATACACACAAACACCCGCAGAGACACTATCACAGAAGCTCAGTTGGTCACTCTCTCACGAAGGGCACACAGACACAGATAATCGAATAGGTTGTGCAACACCGGTGATAAATCTGTTGAAAGAAATGGCCTACTGTAAAGGAAAGAGCGAGATCTCCCAGCTAGGGTGCTGGATAAATGTGTGTACGTGACAAAGAGAATAAGTTGCTGAGTTAGGTGTTTACTTAGCACCCTATTTACTTTACGATTACACACAAGAGTACAGCATCCATACAGTAAGTCTGTATGTCTGTGAATGTGTACTCCAGTACATGTGCGTGTTCTGCAGGAATTGATCCTTTACGATACACCGATTATACGCTGAATTGACTTGGTTTATTTGTATGCTTAGAACTGTTCTGTGTGTGTGCCTATAAAGTTGCATGTGTGTGCCTGCACAGGGAGAGAGGTTTTACATGGTCAGAGGTGTTGCTGCTAGAAGTCTATGTCTGTGCTGGAGAGCCAGATTGTGTGAGTGTAGTGTATGCGGGTGGTCACATGTGTGTTTGTGTGTGTATGCATTGCGTGGAGAGAAGCTGAGTGACAGGTTTTGTTTTTTTTTTAAGCCTGCCACTGAGACTAGCATCAAACACCACCTCAACTCTTTGCCCTTCTCTAATCTCACACACATACACACAGTGTGCTCAAACTCACACATGTGTACACACACACACACACACACACACACACTCCTGTTACAGCTCAGACTCCCTTTTACATCCCTGAGAGCTACACAGATCTTTTAAATACAAGAATAAAAATAACAACAAAAAAAAGATCCGACACTCCTTCTGCAGGTATTTTACTCTCTTCACAGCAGTCAGTTCATCTGTCTGATGCATCTGTTCAACAAAGGAGACACACACACACACACACACACACACACACACACACACACACACACAGAGGGTGGTTTGTCAGTTATCTGATGTAATCTGTTGTACAATGTTGGGCAACAATTATTTGATCATTTGTAAGTTTGCTCAATTAGAAAGAATGAACAGTCTCTAATTTGTAAGGTATTTGCATTTTAATGGAGAGAGACAGAATATCAACAAAGAAGCACACAGTTACATAAAAGTTAGAAATTGATGTGCATTTTATTGTGTGAAAAAATATTTGATCTCCTACCAACCAACAAAGACTCTGGATCAGATTCAGTTTCTTCCCTTCCACAATCATGGGCAAGGCCAAAGAGTGGTCAAAGGACGTCAGGGACAAAACCGTAGACCTGCACAAGGTTTGAATGGGATACAAGATCATCAGAAAGCAGCTTGGCCAGATGGTGACAGCCATTGGTGCGATTATTTGGAAATGGAACAAATATAAAACAACCATCAATCACCCTCAATCTGGAGATTGTAAGATTGTACAGGACAACTTCACCACATTGAGCCAATGGACAATAAATTTTTGGAAAAGAACTTCCTTTCTGGGTGGTGGGTGGGTCTTTCAGCATCACAATGACCCAAAACATGTAATCAAGGCAACAAAGGAGTGGCTAGAAGCACATTAAGCTACAGACCTCAATCCTATAAAAAAATCACCAAAATGGCGCCTGAGATGTGTGCAAACCTGGTATCCAACTACAAGAAACTTCTTACCGCTGTGCTTGCCAGCTAGAGTTTCTCCACCAAGTACTAAGTCATGATTTGCTTGCGGATCAAGTACTTCAATTTATAACTTTTAATGTAGTATGTTTTAAAAAAAAAAACTTAACTCAGCAGGGGATTAAATAACTATTTCCCTCACTGTAGATTAAAACATTTAGTATAATAAGACCAAAGAACTACCATTAAGTAGTTAGTCTAGACAAAGTAAAAATAAAATGAAATAATTGCCTGAGTAAACATCCTATAATTAAACAAACACAAGTAAAAACAGACTCGTGCATATTTAGACGATTGCTAATGTTTGAGGTGTGTCTGAACTGAAGGCCTTGGTGCATATGACCTAGTTTACTTGATGCCATAGATCTCAAACAGGATGTTGAAAGTAAGAAAGACTGTCTTTGGTTAAAATATGTGTCAGGGAAATTCCTTTGTGACTCACACTGAGTTGGTGTTGGTTTATTATAAATTGGTTTGGTAAAATACCACCCTCTGGTCTCCTTAGTTGGTATTAGATTTCTGGGCAAGGCGGGAGGGGTGGATGAGAGGGATGGAGAGTGGGCTTGGGTGTGGGGAAGACAGGTTGTCACCCCTGCCCTTTATATTGAGATACAGTCTGGCTGATGACACTGACTCATCCTTGCTTTCCAAGCTCTCTTCTTTCCTCTTAGTAACCTCCGTCATGGCTTCTGTTCTCACCACACCCAGCGGTGCACATGCCACAAAGTGTGCTGCAGGTCTACACAATCCCCATTAGGCGTTTTTGTTGGAGTTTTTTTTCTTTCTTTTTTTTAAATCTGGGTCAGGAGCCAAATGAGAGTAATGCGAATAGGAAAAAATGCCTCTCAACAATGTCTATTATTACTATTGCCTTTTCTTTTTTAACAGAGACTCAAAGTCTTCCTGTATTCATGCTATGTAAGGACAAAATACACCATTGCCTGTAGATATGTCCTTTTACATGTTAAGTGAGGGAATTGCATCAGTTCTCCACATGATGTAACCCATGCTGCAGATAGGCAAACATAATAGTCTGAAAAATCTGGGCTCACAAAGAAAAACATGTTGGAAATATGAACTATCAACCACGCAGCTGACAGTTCCTTTTTCTTTTTTTAATTCAGTGCTGGTCTGCCTTAGTACAGTTTAGAGACATGGGATCCCGAGGTAATAGCAATACGCCGGCTTTACAACTTTTGGCTTTTTAGCAGTGTTAGCAGATTAATGAACAGCAGTGTTGGTGTGTTAGTCTTCCTATTGTCGGTGAAAAACTTCGGTCCAAATGAAAACATATCAAGACTGATTTCTGAGAAATTTTCTGGTTTGGTGACCACTTCAGGCACGAACATGAGGTTCATATTTGTGGTTCTAAAGAAGATGTCTCAGCAACTTTAACTTTAGCCTCTAAACCAGTCACCAGTTTAAAATTTTAATTTGTCTACTGGCTTGGCTATTGGATGACTAAATACTGGCAAAGCAAATACACCTTCCCATCAGCCACAGCTGTACTTTGTTCAGTTCAAATAAGTAAATGTTAGCATGTTGATACATTGGATTAAGATGGTAAACAAGGCTTGTTGGCACTATCATGTTTAACACACTTTTCCCACCAAAAGACAAAATTTGATCTTTTGTGTTTCATATCAGAATTTACTCTCCTGCCAAAAATATATTACTAAAAAAAAACACTAAAATGAGATTTTACTGACTGTGATTTCTTGCAATTAAATGCAAGCCAAAAAGCAGAGGTTAGTCACCGCAGGCAGGAAACATCATGAAGTAAACTGTACTGACGTGCCACTCATATCCATAACTTTATAACCTTGATCATGATTGTGCCGCTTTGCATACGCTGGGAGTTAGCCAGAGTAAACATATGTGTGCTGCCACAGCTCATTGAACTGAGTGAAATACCTGAAATAACTCTGAGTCACAACTAAATCACTAAAGCATGTCATGAGAATTTGATCAGAAGCATTTTTAAACTTTAAGGACACTTTTTGAGCATGTTTATGGGAAGCATTTGGCACGTAAAAGTTTTCTTTAGGAGTATACATGTATTCTAAGCAGCATGCAGCTAGGGAACATGCAGAGACAGTTAAACTCCTGAACTGGATGTCAGTAATGTGTGTTTGGATAATTGCCTCATATTTCACAGATAGGCATTTCCCCCCAGGGATAACTCCGGCCTTCCACGCCCCATCACCATAAGCACAATATCAACGCAAATGCGCTGAGTACTCTATTTGCTTTTCAACTGGGAACTTGACTCCCATGCTTTGAGCGAACAGTCATGACAGAAAGACGTTTTTCCAGTCAAATTAACTCAACTGTTAGATAAAAGAAAACACATTTCTAACTTTGCTCATTTCGTGCTTACATTCATGGACTTTCTAGTGTAAAATACATAGTATGTAATAATCTCAAAAATCAAGTCTGCAAATATCTTTCACTTGTTCTTATTTGCCAGGTTACCTGGCAAATTTCTGAAGAAAGGCTTCAGGTTTCTGAAGACTTTCTTCAGAAATCTTTGAACCACAGGTTACCAAAGGTCACACTACAAATGATCATGAGATCAAAAAACTGTGTGAAGCACCTCTCTATGAACTTATTCTAAACGAGGCACACACATACTAGCATATGACTTATACTTTGTTACCTACACAGGGATTCCTCTTGTTAGTGGGAATACTGGCACAATGCCTGGAGAAAACATGTTTCATACATTTATAATAAACAAGTGTAAATACACTGGAGATCTTTAGAGAGTTCTTCAAACCAAAACCTCACCGAGTGAAGTTCAGAAAAGAAATTATTTATTTATGAGTTGATTCTATTGTTGGGTTGGATTTAGTTGTCAAACAGAAGTAATTTACTAAATCATTTGAATGCTATCATTACCTTCTTCTCACTAAACACTATCATTACTTTCATTACTTATTTTTGTACTTATACTTTCATAAGATGATACAGTAGTAATCACAATTACTGACTTATTTATGTATTGTTTTCATGTAATTGTATTCATTGTGTTTTGCATTGTAGTGCTTTATACTATTTACTATTACGTGTCTACACTATAGTATTGACTGGTCTGTTCTTGCCCTTGGAAAACTGATCACATTATAACATGTCGTGAATAATTCAACATTTGTGAATTTAAATTTGATGGTATTGTTGTGAACGTGAAACCACAGGATGCCTTAATAAGAGCTTACAGAGTGATAAGATTATTTTAGCCATTTGCTAAAATGACTGAAACCTTGGGTGGCCTAAAGCTACGTACACACTGGAAGTGAGTCGCTCATTGCGCGTTGCTTTGATGCTCACAGCTGGTGGCTTTTATACATTCCAGACTCTGGTTGTCCTGGTAACCTTCTAAAGTCCTTACTACCAGGTCATAAGTCAATCATTGGTATTCTTCACTCCCATTGGTAGTTTCCTCAGTGGAAGTTGAGAAGTTTATCTTCCCAACTTCCCATCGCCAATGGATATTTATTTCTTCCGTTGTTACCATGTTACAGCAAATAACTTCCAGTGTGTACAAAGCTTAACACATACCCGTGTGCCACATTTGGTTGCTCCTGATAATCGAGGAGGGGTTTGCAGACAAAGACGTAAACAAACCAAGGCAGACAAACACAGATTATAGTAACACGGATATGGAAATGGATATCTCTAAGTGTATATGTTTTTAATGCAAAGTTCTATATTTTAGTTTCTGTCCACGGAATTTGTATTGAAAGATCTTCACTTGGTTTTTCAGACTGCTGGATCCTCACAGAGCTTCAGATAAAGGTTAAACTTTCTTAAGTAATTAAGTATGTTTACCATCTACCGTTGCTGCTTAATATAAAATCTCTTTCCAAGACTTTATATTAACTTATGTGCAAGACTTTGATTTTATAATGAGATTTATATTTTCATCTTAGAATAATGCACATATATTTTTTAAATGCTGTCTTGTCTAAGTTCCTGAATTCTTCAAGTTGACCTTTGGCATCTATGCCTAATGCACCCCTTTTTAGGCATGAGTTATACAGATCTGTCTCTCCTAATCAATCACATCAGCATGCTTCTGAAGAACCCCTTGGCATCAAATTTAAATGCACTTGGTAAGAAATTATTTCTTTTAAACATGCAGGGTTAATATTGTGATGGGGCATACATTAACTTAACCCTAACCAGCATGTAAATGCAACATTACAAAGTGAGAAAAAATCACTGAAGCAAAATTCAAAAACTCAAAGACAGTTGATCTCCTAGCTGACACACGTCCACCCTCCAACTGTTGGACTTCATGGCTCTAAACATCAAATTGTTCAAAAATTGTTGTGGCTGGTATATCAAACCAGACATTTGAAAACACCAGCTGCAGTGGCCAGAAAGCAATTTTTGTCTCTCTGGGGTGAGAACACACTAGCATTTTGCAACCTCATCTTTGAATTATAAATATTGCCAGCAAGAGAAAAAAAATGAGCGAACCAGATAGGACTGATGACTGAATATTTCTCAACATTGTGAAAATAAGCCAATAAAATAAAATGAATAAAGCACCCCTGTACAGAGCGTAGGCTTGTTTAAAGGCCAGTGAGTGATCATGATGGTGTGTCATGTGGGA